AAGCATTGCTGGATGGAGGATTCTGGAAGTCCTCCCCTCTTAAAACATGATGGATGGGGGATTCTGGGAGTGGAAGTCCTCCCCTCTTAAAACATGATGGATGGGGGATTCTGGGAGTGGAAGTCCTCCCCTCTTAAAGCATAGCTGACTGGTGGATTCTGGAAGTTGGAATCCTCCCCTCTTAAAGTACCAAAGTGGAGAAACACCGCTCTCTGGCCCAGGCATCAGCTTGACCCAATGATCTCTGGCTTCCAACCCTCTCCATAACCCAGAGGTTGGGTTCCCCGATCCCTTTCGGAGCATGAAAGACGGGTGTCTTGTCACAGTGCCAGGCACTCCCACCTGTACAGTTGTTTCCGCTTCAGCCGGCCTGTTTCCTCCGGAGCCTCCTTGGTGTCTTCGGCCAGGAGACACAGCCAGGCGTGGAAGGCGAAGCCGCCCCCGGGCCACTTTTGGATGGTGGGCACCATGATCCCCGCCATGCTGGGCATCAGGTCGAAATACTGCAGTGCCCGCTCGGGTCCCTCTTTCCGCGCCATCCCTGAAAGAGCTCGCACGACTTGCACGGTGTATGGGTGGCAACCTGCCCCATTCTCGGTCCGCAGGAGTTTCAGCAACTGCCGTAATTCACCCGGACGGATCGAGAGGCCGCCGAGCGCTTGAAGCAAGTCGACCAGATTCTCGGTGCATTTGCGGTCGAGATTCTGCTGCGCGGCGCTCAACACGTCCAACAGGTATCCCACCATGCCCGCCCGGACGCAGGTGGTGCGGCTCTGGAGAGAAGCTTTGCAGATTTTCTTCAGCCACTCGGAAAGGAAGATCTGGAGATCCCGGGAGGTGAGCTCAGGGATCCACTGGGTCAGGATCAGTAGCGGCTGCTCGTTGTGGATGAGGCGCGGAGGGGTGGCGGTGTGGTCCCCTTCGACAGCCTGGGGAAAGGGTCACAGGTCTGACGGTGAGTTATGGCTAATTCTAACTCTAACGCTCATTCGACTCTGATTTTAATTCAGTCCTAATTCTAGTTCAATAATTCTAATTAAGTTCTAATTCCAATTTTTATTCTGGTTGAATCCTCATCCTAATCTTAATTCTAATTCAATAGTTCTAACTGAATTTGAATTCTAATTCTAACTGAATTTGATTCAATTTTAATTCTAATTCAATTTTAATTCTAATTCAATTTTAATTCTAATTCAATTTTAATTCTAATTCAATTTTAATTCTGATTCTCATTTAATTGTAATCAATAA